ATATATGCATGCATGTGCAACAATTAATTTAATATGAAGCAGGATATTACAATAATGCATGAGATTGTGCCTGTTTTTATCAATGTCTGAATAAAATGGCTATATCCCCATCATTTTTCATAAAAAATATGATCTTAGTTTAAAACTGACATGAAAGGAAGCAGGCCTTTAATTATATCAGCTTTTGCTCAGTCGCTTCCATCATTTGCACTTGGCAATGTTTTGTTAATTTAATGCAAGTGTAATGGTACTCAGGTCCTCTGTTTTCTTCATTATTGAAATGATTTTGTAAAGGTTTTACATGACAAACAACACATTTGTAAGATCACCAAATCTTCTGAGACACAAATATCTGAAGGGTCTGTCTGTGACTTTGACCTCTCTGAGTTGTACTTATTTAATTCTGCACGAGCAGCACTGTGTCAAAGCAAGTCTTCTCATCTGATCCCTGCAGCTTTTATCTGCACTAAGTAGTGCGACCTCAAATATCTGCTGACGGACTAGTTTTAAAGGAGGTGACGACTGAAGATGCCTGTTTTCGTCCTGTTGACATCTTTAAAACTTGCACTTTTTGATGGTTTGAGAAAAGTGCAGACTGATTTGACCTACAATTTTATTTTTTGAAGGTTTGGGATGCCAATCTTAACAACTTTTAAAAATTTGGGGGGGGTCTACCAAGATGCGATTGTGGCACCATCTAATGTTCAAAGATTGACAAGGTGCTCATTTGCTCTTAAATATTTTGTTTCTACAGAAATAGTGAGAGCAATGACTCACGTCATCAACCAGGGGATGGCCATGTACTGGGGAACATCTCGTTGGTCCGCCATGGAGATCATGGTAAGTGGTTGCAAATCAAAAAATATCCCCTAATAGAGATTATTAGTTGGGGGGAAACAGTCAGTGCTTTGGTTATACTGAAGTCAATGAAATGCATTCAGAGCTAATTTAACACTTTAGATCAGCACTGACAAAATGTTTAAGTTACACATATAAAAACAAGAGTTAGTTTAATGTAATATTTTTGCTCTGTAAATTCTCCGCACCTAATTAGCTGCCAAATAATTTAAAAGTACTAAACAAAAATAAATAAATCATGCAGGAAAAAAAAACAACTTCAGAAAAAAATGTGTTGCACATGAAATCTTTTTTTTTTTTTTTTTTAAATCTCAGTACATTTTTCTTATTCTTTCTCAATAAGCCAACTGTTTTTAGACATTAGAAGGTGGCACTGAGTCCAATTAAAGTGAACAGAAAACAGGCTGCTGTGCTGAAAGGTTGTGGGGAAAAGATAAAAGTTATTAAACATAAAGGTCAGCGTTAAGTTTCCTTATCTCATGAACATTCTCCACCATTCTCCATTCCTCTTTTCACCATTTAATTAGGAAGCGTATTCTGTGGCCCGGCAGTTTAATCTGATTCCTCCGGTGTGCGAGCAGGCCGAGTATCATTTCTTCCAGAGGGAGAAAGTGGAAACTCAACTTCCAGAGATCTACCACAAAATAGGTACGTGTGTTGTAAGTTTCTATCCTGCCGTCAAAATGAATCATCTGAAATTCTTCAGAGGTCATTGTCTCGTCACAGGTGTTGGTGTGGTCTCTTGGTCCCCTCTGGCCTGTGGGATTATCACTGGAAAGTATGAAAATGGCATCCCAGAGTCTTCCAGGGCTGCCATGAAGGTAGAGGCTGAATGTCATCAAACAACCCCAGTTATAGTTCATTTCAGTCCAGTTTTGAGATGTGATTGTGATTGTGCTTATTTAACGTCTTCCCTAGCCCTACCAGTGGTTGAGGGAGAAGATAACGAGCGAGGATGGAAAAAAGCAGCAAGCCAAACTAAAAGAACTGACTCACATCGCAGAAAAACTCAGCTGTACTCTGCCACAATTAGCCATAGGTAAATGACAGCTGACAAAAGTCATTTTGCCTCAGCTTTTATTTCTGTCAAATCTAATTTTTGCTTCCTGACATGAAGTCAAAACTTTAACTGTTTGCAATAAGCGTCTTTCTGCCTTGACATCTTAATTATACCTCGCTGCTCTCCCTGACTTTTAGCCTGGTGCTTGAGAAACGAGGGAGTGAGCTCCGTGCTTCTCGGAGCCTCGAATCCAAGTCAACTGACAGAAAACTTGGGAGCCATTCAGGTACCTTTTCACTTCTTTTAATCGTTTCATTCATTTGTCTTGTTGCTCAGCTTTTTTGACAACATGATGATGGATTCTGTCTTTGTTCTGTGCATTTCAGGTGATTCCAAAAATCACAGCAGGTATTGCCTCAGAGCTGGATCACACACTGGGCAACCGTCCACACAGTAAAAGGGACTACCACCATTAGGATGGACCCATCTTAGTAAACTATGCTCAAAAAGCTTTTCAAAGCTCACTCTTCACAGCCATGGCACCATAAGTGCGTTCCCAGAGTTGCGTGTGTGTGGAGGACTGTGTGATTGTGCTTGGCTCTTTCAGCTCAATAATGTGAAGCAAGCTACTTGACTCAAAGCATGCCTTTGCCAGCCACCGGACTAAACAGAATTCGTGGGATCCGTTGACACAATTTCTTGTGTAAAAACTTCTTCCAGAATAAAGTTTCAGAAGGTGCTGAACCACCAAATCGACAAAGCAAAAGATCATATTATCACTTGTCCAAGAACTTCTGTGAATAAGGCTGTAAGTGCATGTTAAGACAACTTTAGAGAAACTTATAACCGCCAAGCATCTCACTAAGCTTATGACACTTCCATGAGTCTACAACAAAATGATGCTCTGCATTAAAATGGACCTAATATTAGAGAACTCTATTTTGTTTTATGTCTGTGGTGTTGAAAGTAATGAGAAAAAAAAAATCAAATTTTAACTCGGTTTTGGCTCACGATGTTTATGCTGATGACATGCAAACTTCTTTGAATTATTCAAAATGTCTATAATGACTGTTACGTTTATTTCCTTAATGAACAACTATGTCAGTGAGTTTCAAGTCTCCTTGCGTTGTATTTTTTCCACTTATGCAACTGCACTACAGAGTGTATTATCCTTCTGTGCCCCATCAACCCAATTTAATGTGTACCCTGCCAGACTCTCTGTCAGTAGGGATTGTATCTGATTCATTTCATTTCAGTCTGTTCTGTGGACAGAGCCGTGTCTCAGTGAAGATGGGTCGATGATCCACCTACGGGGAAGCTCGTGGATAACAAATAAAGCCATGCAGTTAATGAAGAGACAGTTAAAAAAATGAGCACCATATGGACCCCTGAAGTAATTGCACCTGGAACATGCAGAGTTTCTACCAACTTCTCCCAGATGGCAGTTTTATGTAATGGGACTATCTTTGTTATGTTTTCTCAATCATGCATTTTGGTGTTGTCCATCAGATTTGTACATCAATTTTAATGAAAAAGCTTATGATCCTAACAATATATAGTTTACACAATGCTATAGTTGTGGATGCCTTTCTTTTGATTTAGTAAAATAAATCAAATGATTTAAGATTAACAGTGCCATTTTCTTCAGTTTAATTCAATTCAGTTTATTTATATAGCACCAAGTCACAACAGAAGTCATCTCATGCACTGAACAGAAACATTCATATATATATAAATAATAATTTAACACTATTTATCTGAGGAGAGGACTGCTTTGAATTTAACTCCATCACAGAACTCTCATCTTGAGCAAGCATGAAGGCGACAGTGGAAAGGAAATACTCCCTCATGAGGAAAAAACCTTTAGTAGAACCAGGTTCAGGACAAACAACCATCTGCTTTGACCAGCTGGGTTGCCTTAGACAGACACTGGAAGTTGGTTCCACAAGAGAGGAGCGTGATAACTGAAAGATCTTCCTCCCATTCTGCTTTTGGAAACTCTAGGGACTGCAACTAAGCCTGCAGTCAGTGAGCAAAGTGCTCTGTTGGGAAAATATGGATGAATAAGATCTTGAATATAAGATGGAGCTAGGTTGTTGAGAGCTTTGTAGGTTAGAAGTAAGATTTTGAATTAAATTCTGGATTTAACAGGGACCCAATGGAGAGAAGCTAAAACTGGAGAGATATGATCTCTCCTACTAACTCCAGTTAAGACTCTGGCAGCAGCATTTTGGATCAACTGAAGACTTAAAAAAAAAAAAAAGTATTTGGACAACCAGATAATAAACCATTGCAAAAGTCCAGTCTAGACGTGACAAATGCATGAACCAGTTTTTCTGCATCATTTTTAGATAAGTCCAACAATGTTCAGTCAGGTCATCTTGACAGTTTCTTCTTTTTTTTGTGTGTGCTGAGACATTTCGCCCTCCATCCAGAAAGCTTCATCGGTCTGAGGAAATGCCAACCAAAACTGCTTCTCCCCCAACAGCCTACTCCAAAGTGAAAAAAAAAACAGTTACGTTGGTGCTAAGATGGCCTCTGGGGCATGCCCTCTCCTCTGGTGCCCGCCCTCTACGTCGTCGACAGTCATGTCAAACTGGTTCAAAACATTAAAGTCCACGCTCAATAATCCAGCTATATTGAGCAAGGACTTCACTGTTTTGAACCAGCTTGACATGACTGTCGACGACGTAGAGGGCAGGCACCGAAGGAGAGATCGTGCCTCAGAGGCCATCTTAGCACCAACATAACTGGTTTTTTTTTGTTGTTTTTTTCCACTTTGGAGTAGGCTGTTGAGGAAGAAGCAGTTTTGTTTTATGTTTCCTCAGATTGATAAAGCCTTCTAGATGGAGGGCGAAATGTCTCTGCACAAAAAAAAAAAAAAAAAGAAACCGTCCAGATAACCTGACTGAAACTGATTGTTGGATTTTATACCTGGATTATTGAGCATGGACTTTGGTAGTTTTAGATAAGATGTTTCTAATTTTAGCGATATTATGCAGGTGGAAAAAGGTGGTTCTAGTGACATTTTTAATGTGGGGGATAAAGGCATGTCCTGATCAAAAATAACACCAAGATTTGTAACATTAGAGCTGGAGGCCAGGTTAATGCCATCCAAGGAGGACAAAAGACTGAAAACGTTATTCCTAAAATGCTCAGATCCCAAAACCAAAACTTCAGTCTTGTCTGTATTCAAAAGCAGAAAATTTAGGGTCATCCAGGATTTGATGTCTTTAAGACATGTTTGTAGTCTAAGTAGCTGATTGGAGTCATTGAGTTTCAAGGACAAATATAATTGTGTATCATCAGGCCAACAATGAAAATGTACCCCATGCTGTTTATTAACTTTACCTAATGGAAGCATATATAAGGTAAAGAGTATTGGTCCAAGCAATGAACCCTGAGGAACTCATTGACTAACTTTGGTGTATGATGAAGATTCATTATTTACATTTAAAAATTGGAATATATCAAATAAATATGATTTAAACCAATTTAGAGCTGTTCCTGTAATCCCAATATCATATTCAAGTCTTTGTAGTAGAATAATGTGAGCAACTGTATCAAATGCAGCACTGAGGTCTAACAGGACCAGTGTAGACACAAGTCAATTGTCAGAGGCCATGAGAATAAATCAGAGTCAGAGTCAGAGATTCTTTATTGTCATTCGCACCTCATGTGGTACATGTGGTGGAGCGAAATTATGTACACAGGGTCCCAGTTACATCCAACAATAAAATGTATAAGAAAAACAGTAATAAGAGATGAACTAAGAAAAACATCAACTAAATATACACTAAGCACTGCACTAATAGCAAAAAAACATTATGTCGAACATCATCACAAACATGAACATGCGTCTGTGTAAGCAGATGAGCACGCATGAACACATCAACATGAAACAGATCAGCAGCAACATGATGTGATTTTTCACAGTGATGATTCTGGTTTATTGATTCAAGAGTCTAACAGCCTCAAGGTAGAAGCTGTTTCTCAGTCTTGTGGTTCTACACTTAATGCTCCTCAACCTCCTTCCAGAGGGGAGCGGGGCAAAAAGTGTGTGTGCTGGGTGAGTGGGGTCCTTCACGATGCAGGTGGCCCTCTTCCTGCATCTAGAGGTGTAAATGTCTGTGATGATGGGGAGACTGACTCTAACAAACTTCTGTGCAGCCTTCACCACTCTCTGCAAAGTTTTTCTTTCTGCAGCTGTGCAGTCTCCATGCCACACATTGATGCTGGAGCACAGGATGCTCTCCACTGCACACCTGTAGAAGGAGGTGAGGACTGAGCTTCCCAGACCAGCTCCTCTCAGCCGTCTGAGGAAGTAGTCTCTGATGAGCTTTCTTGATCAGGCTGGTAGTGTTGTTGCTCCAGCTCAGGTTATCATTCATGTGTACACCCAAGTACTTGTAGCTGGAGACCACTTCCACCGCAACAGACAACGACAACAGACAACAAAATGAACAGTAAATCATGAGGAAAATAGTTTCTCATTGTTTGTTTTTGGAGTATCATGTCTTTTGAAGTACAGTAAAAATAACATACATACATATATATATATATATATATATATATATATATATATA